ATTTTTCCACAAATTTTTTTTTTTTGTTATTGTTGTTTGTTTGTTTGTTATTGTTGTTGTTGTTGTTGTTGCTATTGCTGTTGTGATTGTGTTTTGTTTAGCTTTAGTAAATACTTGAAAATTTAATGCCGTTTGGCCAATAATTAAGGCAGCGCGCGTTGTTCGACTTTTTCGACTTTTCAATATTTTTATTTTTATTTTTATTTTTTTTTTTGTCTTGCTCTCGTTATACCAAACGAGATCTGCTGGATTTGCTCAGCTGTGAGAGAAACAGCCGAGTTTCGTATAGTTGCTTCTACTTGAATGCATTACAGGGTATGTCAGTGTCGAGCATGCCCGATTAGCCATATGCCAACTTGCTTGGGCTTTCATCTGCATTCCCAATCATCCTGTTGCTCCTTCTCTGTGCCTCTCTCTCACACTCCGTCTCTCTCTCTCTCTCTCTCTCTACCGCCAACTAGCAAATATTAATCATACGCACAGTTAGCCAAAAATTGATTTGATATGAACGAGACGCACATAAATTATTTGAAAGATTGAGCGCAGGCTGTGCACCAAAATCAATTGAGAAATCGCACGAGAGAAAAGAAAAACAAAAAGCGATTTCATGTTAAATACAAAAACTCTCTGCCCGAGCAACAGATGGCGCCACCCACCCCCAAACTGACCAACACAAAAAAACAAAAAAAACAAGCCGGAAATCTTTCGAATCTGCAATTGAAGCAATGCGAAACAGGAAATGCCCCCGAAAGAAAAAGGTTAACGCCGCAACAACAAGCGAATAGCCCAAGCAATGAAGAAGAGAAAATTACAAAAAAAAAGGAAAATGGGGAAAAACTGAAAAAAGAAGAGACGTTAGCCCATGTGAAATTGCATTAAGCGTAAAATTTAGAGTTTTATGTTTCAGTTAACAGGAAAAAAAAGTGTCGAAGGTACTGGATAAATATGCATATCGATATATGCATATCGATATGTTTATAGAATATATAAATCGCATTTAAATTTCAAGAAGAAGAAGAAATTGATACTATTCCCAGTCATGAAAATTTGAATCGATTTAATATTTATTCTACTATTCTTAAAATTTTGATACTATCTTTCAGAATCCTTCCGAATTTCTTAAAAATGAATGATTTGAGACGGTTGTCAACAGCTATCATTAGAGTTTCAATTTTCCGCGTCCCCAATTGCCATAGATATCTATATAATATCTATTTAATATCTAATTAATTAAGGGTTATCAATCTGATATGAAATGTGGTTACCGATTATCAGCGCTCCTATTGGTTGAGTCGAGAAAGTCTTAATACTTTGTAATTCGAGGGTATAAACAAAGTCAGATTTAAGCTTCAGATATATAAACCATATAAAAACTGTCTCTGTAAAATAGATATTGTAGATATGCTATTAATTACAAACCCTTAGCTAATGTCAGAGGTACTCTATAGGCTCCACTTTCCCACTCTAAGATACATTCTTCATGCTACCATTACACTCGTATATCTCACATATATCTGCACTAGTTTTCAGGCTCTACCCCGAAATAGTCCTTTGTGGCACTAAATCAGGGTTCGAGTTCCGCACACAAACTCTAACCACATCTTCGAAAAAGCAACTCGAGTCCATAGCTTAAAAAGTTTTTGTTCTACAAGTTTTTTAAGTTAAGTTGTTTAAGTTTTCGCATTTGTGGTTTTCCCACATTTTCATAGCTTCTCATGACCTTTCGTTGGGGAAAAGCCTCAAGATGTGCAACATTTTGAACGAATTCAAGCGATAGCAAGTTTTGCTACAGCTTAAAACTCATTGATTTCGAAAAGTTCGAAGGGTTTTCGAAACTATTTTTGATGTTCGAAAACGAAAACAAACACAGTTGTAGCTCAAGGTCAACGACAAATCGTAAACTTGTTAGAAAAGTCAACAAAAACTGAGAATTTCGACTGTTGAAACAAGTTTTTGAAATAGAAATTATTTCAATATATTTTAATATAATATATTTAATATATTTAAATTCTCATATAATCACACAAATTCCATTTGAACTTGAAACGTTTCACAAAACTGTTGCGACTTTTCGCACCTTTCACAACACTGACCTTCAGCTCTATAAGCAAAGTCTTGAAGGTACTAGAAAAGGAAATAGAAACTCAAATCACAAAAAGAAAATTCTAATTCACTCAAAAAATGCATCTGAAAATTTGTAAAAAAAAAATTAATTCATATTTTTAATTTCAAGAATTTACCTTTATTTTGGCTCTCCTTGCACTTTTGTCTATTGCCTTCTCGCTCGCACACTCAAAATGATTGATATATATATATATTTCGATATATGTGTGTATATTTGTTTAATATACAAACTTTTCAACTTTTAGTATTTATTTATTTTATATCAACAACAACCCAAAAAAAAGCCAACAAAAAAAAAAACAACGGCAAGAATTTTCTTTGAGTTTTTCGAATGGCAAGCAAAAGAAATTCCTTATTTTTGGCGCGCCTTTAACGATTTTTGAAAAATTTCCAATTTGGATTTTTCAAATAATTTCTAGAATCTTTGCTCCATACACTCGCACACACACACACACACACACAGAGAGTCACACACTTTTGGGATCAGGCGCAAATAAAACGTTTTACTTTGACTCTTTGTTTCGTTTTGAACGCACGACTTCAAGTAACGGAACTCGAAATCGAACTCAATCGCCAGTTGAACGGTATTTGAGTCAGTTTGAGTATTGAGCGCTTCTGATTGGCTGTCTCCAAGAAGTAACAACAACGCAATGTTATCCGCTCGGAGGCTGAACGCCTACTGGTCGAAGGCAGTCGCTGAATGCGACGACGACGTTGCGCGCCACGCAACGCAACGCGTGAGCATCGGCAGCGACGTCGACTGTGGCAGCGACAGCGGCAGCGAGCAGCGCGAGTAGCGCGAGTAGCGTTAGCCGAAGAGCGCACGATGTGCGTCGTTCTAGCTGCTGCTACTGCTGCCACGCTGCTGTTGCTGCGCTGCTGCTGCGCTTTTTAATTGCATTTCAGTTGGCAAAAAGCGCAGCAGCTTTTTGGTTTGTTGCTGCTTGTCTGCGCTTCATAAAATATTTTCCTGCTGAATAATTTAATGCAAATATAACGCAGTCTACACAGCGCACACATGTGCACATGTCTCTGCCACAGTGTGTGCATGTGTGTGTGAGTGTGTGTTTATGGCGCCCAAAAAGTCTACACCGAAACACGCACCGAGCACGACCTTCTGCTTCAGGTGGACGCTCTCCAAAAATGCCTCCTGGAATGCTTTGGCACTCGGCCGAATCGGCACTCGCCGTTCGTCGCTCGGCTCTCGGCATTCGGCGTTCGGGCAGCGCGTCGGCCAGCTCGTGCCAGCGCTTTCCAGTCTCATTTGTGCTAACAAGTGGGGAGCAACAGTTGAAATGAATGAAACGTTTTCGACGGCAGCGACGTCAGCTGCGACGCTGGCAGCGCTGCTCGACTTCATGTGTTGCGCATCTCTAATACACCTGCTCGACGTGTCTGTGTGTGTGTGTGTCTGCTTTCCAGGCACACGCATAAGCAGTTATTCGCACTGTTGCGCTATCATGCGTATGTGAGTGTGTGTGTTTGCTCATCTCTGCGCGTGTGTGTGTGTGTTAAGCAGCAACTAATTTTTGTTAATCACACCTTAATGACATGAACTTGACACTGTTCTCGATATTGACGTCGCCTGCGATCTAACGTCAATTGGTCCGTTACCGTTATTTGGCATGTGCATGTGCATGCCTCTCTCTCTCTCTCACTCTCTGTTCACTTAATTACAATTCGCTGCAAGCTTAACAGCAACAACAACAACAATAGCAAACCGCAGCTTCTTTATATGCACACACGCGCACACACTCACGCACACACACATGCAGGCATTGCAGCAGGCTCGACGCCAATGTCGCTTTTAATGAGCTGAGCCAGGCGACAAACGCAACAGAAACGTTTTGCTCCAGCAGACTCTAGATTTTCATGCAGACTGCCGAAAAATACTAAATTAGTATTGTGAGCTTATGAATATTGAAATAAATGAAGTATAAAGCATAACTTATAAACAATTAAGCACTAGCAAATATCTCCCATATATCTATTGAAATAACTTTTGGTGTTTTCGTCGGTCTACGCACGCGAGTCGCTGCGATCGCACGCATTACCTGCTTGTGCCCAAGCCCACAGTATTGAAGCACAATTCAATCGCATTGCTTATTCTATTTATAGCATTCGTAAGAGATTGTATGTTTGTGTGTGTGTGTGTGCGCACATTAATGAAGCAAAGACGCTTGGCGTTTCTTTCCGTGAGATTTTGCAATACGTTTTCTTTCATAACTTCTGTGTTACTTGACCGATTTCAATGAAATTTTCAGCATATTCTCTAAATTTTCTATGGAATATAAATCATGGCACACAACGTGTTTATTGTTTTGTATCGGGAATTTAATTGCACGTATTTATTGACTAATGTGATATTTTAAGTCTGCATCGAAAATTGTCTAAAGTAAATAACAACTACTTATATACATATATAAAATATACTAGCTATAAATGTGTATGAGATATGATTAAATACCTATAATGCAATAAATTTTATAATCGATTTAACGCGAAAAGTTCGTATTTATTTGCAACAAACTTAATCAGCGCGTGATTTAGTCAGACCTCATAATAAATCAATTCGTTAGCTGCTACTCCATAGGAATATATGTATTCAGAGAGAGAGAGACAGAAAGAAAGAGGAAGAGAGGCAGAGAGAGAGAGAGAGAGAGAGACTTGATCATTCATGCCAATATATGTTACTCACTGTACACTTTAGGAGCCCTATCTCGAGCTCCAGTTTACAACGTGCTAAAAATACAATAACATTTTATTTTTTATATGTAATATTAGTATATAATATCAGTATATTTATATATGTATACAAGGATAAAAAATCTTATTACTGTGAACAAAAAATAAAATCCAAAAACAATCAATTCTCAACCCATATACATTTGCGACGCTTTTGTCGCCTGTGCCCGCACTTCCAATTAGAACTAATCAGCAAAGTGTTTGCTTAGCGGTTAGCCCCCGTGATAAGACAGCAGCAGCATCAACAGCACCATCAACAGCTGTTGCCCTCGCTTAGCCACAACCACGCCCATGGCCCCGTCGCCGTCTCCGCCGCCGCCACCGCCGCCTCCCGGCTTGTCGTCGTGGGCAAACTCATCAAAGTAGTTGCCATAGATGCCAAAGGTCAGCAGCTGTGAGTGGCTCTTGCTCAGCCGCAGCTCCACATGTGTGGCGCCCGTCTCGATGTCGGTGTCGTCCTGCCACGCCCACTCGAATTCGGTGGCCTGCAGCGCGTAAAGCGCCTCGCTCAGCGTGCTGGGCATGAGCAGCCGTCGCTGGCGGCGCACGAACTCGCCGCGAATTCGCAGCCAGCTGAACGTGATGCTCCGACTGCCCGCCGCTGGCTCCTCTGCCGGCGCCGCTGCCAGCTGGCCGCAACTGAGAATGCTCTCGTTGCGGCACGCGAACAGACCGCAGAGTCTGACCACGCTATACTGTTCCTCCTCGTAGCGCCGCTGGCCCACAAAGACGCCCGCGCGATAGCTGTACTCCGGCGGCTGCGTCGCATCGCTGGGCAGCTCCAGCTGCAGCTCAAAGTCGCAGCAGAGATCCTGCTGGCAGAGGCGCTGGTGCTGCCTGCTGCCATTGAGCAGCGGCACCAGCCAGCTGGCAAAGTCCTCGAGCTGCGGCTGCTGCAGCATCGTCAGCTGCCTCTGCGCTGGCCCCGCACGCTCCTCATCCAACTCCAGCTCCAGCTCCGGCTCCTGTTCCGACTCCTGCTCCTGCTCCTGCTGCGACTGGGAATAGCGTGGCACACGTGCCAGCAACAGCTGCCGCTGTCCAACGTGCGTGTCGCCCACCATGCGCCGCACAAGGGCGCCGCGGCGCCCTGCATAGATGCCACTCCCACTGATGCCGCGGTGGGGCAAGCTCGCGCCAGCTGCCAGCAGATTCACATTGTTGGCCCACGCCCAGCCCTGTTGGAACTGGCTAGCTGCAAGAGAGTTAGGAGTGAGTGAATGAAAATTCACAATTGAAATTGCCAGTAAAGCTGCAATGAACTTTAACAGCAGTTTTACAAGGAAGATAAAAGAAAAAAATGTTCAGAGAACTTTGATTGAATATGGGAAAAGACTTTTGTGATCAAAGAAACGGTGCAAGGAAGTAGTTCTATAAGAAGTCATAGTTACAAGAAAAATACAATAGATTCTAAAAGAAAAGTCAGAGGAAAGATTTCATTGAACATGGAAGATAAAGTTTCTTTTAAGTTTTTCCCATCAATGTCCAAGAATTTACACAAACTTTTTGCTAAGAAGATTTTTAAAGTATGCCAGAAGAGCGCTTTCAATGAATATGGAAGTTAAAGTCAATAAGTTGAACATTCTCCTACTAATGTCGAAGAGTTCTGTTAAATCTACAAAGATGTTACAAGCCACTTGTAAAAATATTCATAGATTCTGGAGGGAACGAACACAAAATGTCGATAGATTGAAAAGCCAATATATATTCTAAGTACCAGGCAAGTATTCCCAACTGATAACGAAATATAAAACCTTTCTCTATAATACGATAAGAAGTTCCAGTGAAAAGCAGAGTGCAAAAATAAAGCCCACAGATTAGAACGGAATAATCTGAAACAATTTAGATACTCTGTTATCAAAGACAATATTTACGAAGTGGACACGTCTAGACGGAGCTACTCTAGGGCTGTGCAGTGCACACGAAATTGTTGTCACTGTCATTTCTCAAATCGGTATATGGATATAGGGTATAGTATAGTATATAGTATAGATATAGGATATAGTAATGGTATGCTAGCTTAGATAACATGTAGCAATAAAGCACTTATTGCAGAGTTAACGCTACAGAGTATCTCTAAGTCGATTATCTGACTGAATTACAAAAACTAGCACATTTTAGATAGCTATGTATATTACTTATGGCACCTCTAATGTAAGTACAGGCCATGTTCACTTGAAAACTTATTAAGTGCCATCATTTATGAGAATTTCGGTAGAATTACAGGGTATATGTATGTCAACTGTTTACCTTTCTCTTTCTATTTTACTACAAACTGAAAAGTTTTAAACTTGAGTTTGAGGCTTCGTAATCCAATGAGTTCTAGCTCGCTGGAAACTTGTAATAGATTATTACAGGGTATTTGAGAGTCTACTACTCTTACTTTTACTCAATATGCTGCTCTGTAAGAAGAGCTTCATTCAAAACATGCCCATGATGGCTGGATATTCTTACTTTAATACCACTTACGTAACTACAGGGTATCTTTGAGTCTTTTACCGACAAGCTTCTCCAATTT